TGCCAGAAGCACCCATGAAGTAAGAGGAGGGAGTGCTACCAAGTTGCTGTGAAGAGCAAGTGTGGGAGTCCCCACCCACGGAGGGAGGCCGAGTCCCCGCAGGTAGGGCCGGGCACAGGGGGCTTTGCAAGGCCCAGCCTGCACCAGGGTTTACACAGAAACGTAGTGAGCCTGGGCCCAGCCTCGGTGGCTCAGTGGTTGAGCGTCGACCTATGAACCAGGAGGTCACAGTTCTATTCCCTGTCAGGGCCCAGGCCCAGGTTGTGAGCTTGATCCCCAGTGGGGGGCGTGCAGAGGGCAGCTGGTCAGTGATTCTCTCTCCCTCTCCCTTCCTCTCTAAAATCGATAAAAAAATATGTATATATTTTTAAAAAGAAGCTTCATGAATCTTGGTGGATATGGTGCCGTGGGCATTTTCATCTAACTCAGCCCAAGTGGAGGGCTCTCCAGGGCTGCCGTGGCCGTTGGATACCATCCCGGAAAGGATTTTCTCTCAATTCCAAAGACAATGGATTAGGCATTGATTCACAAAGGCAGCCCACAAGCGCCTCTGCTGACTTGGTGGAGGGTTCAGACGGACGCGGCCTGGGGACCCTGTGGAGTTCCTTCCGTTGTGTTTATTCTTTTCAGGCTGACGCGGTCGTGGAAGATTGTCCTGAGCGTGGTGCTGGCACTGACTCTCCTCCTCGTCGGTAAGCCTCCCTAAGCCACGGTCCTCAGGCCACTTCAGGGCGTCTGTGTGAGGAGACCACGGCGGGAGGACCGCGTAAATGACACGGAAATCGCTGGAAGTGGCTGCACACGCCTGAAGCTTTTTTAAATTTCTAATTGTGAAAGCAGGGTTTCTTTTCTTTTCTTTTTTTTAATATATATCTTTATCAATTTCAGAGAGGAAGGGAGAGAGAAACATCAATGATGAGAGAGAATCATTGATCAGCTACCTCCTGCACACCCCCTACTGGGGATCGATCCCGCAACCCGGGTACGTGCCCTTGACCAGAATCTAACCCGAGACCCTTCAATCTGCAGGCCAACGCTCTATCCACTGAGCCACACCAGCCAGGGCAAAGCAGACTTCTTTATTGAAAACTTAGAAAGCACTTTTTTTTCTCTTAAGATCATGGCTTAAAAACAGAAATTGCTTTAACATTAAAACTTGACATTTCTATTGCGGACACATTGACCTTTTCTAACTCTGAGTGACTCAGCAAAGACTCTATCACTCATCACAGGATTTTGGACAAAATGGCCGTGAAGGATCGGCGAGCAGTTTCCTGAGTGTCTGTGTCGCACACCCCCACCTCCACCCCCACTCAATCCCCACCCCACCCCCATACACTGGGAAATGGCTCTTCAATTTATGGGCCACGGGAAGATAGGATGCCCATGGAAACCAAGGCTGCCTCCCAGTTACTGCCAGGAAATGCCACCCGATAACCGGGCAGCACTCGGGGTGCTGTTTGCTGGGGCTGCAAGCACAGGGGTCCCTGGGGTCTTTTCTGAGCATGCGCATGGCACCCCTTTTCCTTCTCACGCCCTCGGCCTCCTCCCTCCAAGCTTTCGTGTCTGTCTGCCACTCCCTCGTTCTCTGTCCCCTGCCCGGGTGGGCGTAGCCAGCTTATGACTCGAAATCTTTCAGCAGACACTGCGGCCTCCCAGAAAGCCATTCTGGCCCCAGGAAGCGGGGAAACCACAGGCCAGCCTCTAGCCAGCTGGCCAGGGGCACTGCCAGCTCCCAGCTCAGTCACCGCCGCTTAAGAACAAGGTCTGGCCTGGCCGGTGTGGCTCAGTGGTTGAGTGTCGACCTATGAACCAGGAGGTCAGGGTTTAATTCCCTGTCAGGGCACATGTCCGGGGTGCAGGCTCGATCCCCAGCGTGGGGCGTGCAGGAGGCAGCCCATCCATGATTCTCTCTCATCATTGATGGTTCTCTCTCTCTCCCTCTCCCTTCCTCTCTGACATCAATCTAAATATATTTAAAACAAAACAACAAGGTCAGTGTCGCCTGCTGACACCAGCAGCTGTGCCCGCGGCCCCGCCTCCCCGTGGCTGTGGGAGGAGGCGGCAGGTGAGCAGAAAGGCCGTCGTCCTCCCCACGGAGCCTGCTCTTTCCTTCAGCCCTGGGTGCGCTGTGGCGTTTGGATTTGACTTCAGAATTCTCAGAGCGTCGATCCCAGTCCTCTTGGCTGACTGGGAGGGAGGACCGGGTTTCAGCACCTTGTGTTGTCCGTCACCCAAGGGCCTGTGTCCCTCCGAGCGGAGAGAGCCCTGCTGATGCGTGTACAGCGCCGTGCCGTGTCCCGAAACACTCCCCCACCGACCCACCGGGTCTTCCCGCACAGGGTTCCGGAGCCACGTGTGGCCGAGAGGACACTCCGTCCAGAAGCCCCGGCGGCTCTACACCGTGATCGCGGAATACGGCTCCCGGCTCTCCAACTACCAGGTGATGGTGGCTAGATCATGGGTGTGACTATCTCGTGGAGATAAAGCGGGACCAGAGTCTGTTCCGTGGTTCCCCCCAGGCCAGTGGCTCTCAGGAGGAGGGTCCCTCTGGCCTTCACTCCTGGGCTCTGTGCCCGCCCCATCCCCCCCACCCGGAGGCTGATGGTGGCTCTTTCTATAGTCTCTTCAACGATGCATAACAGCGTTTTATGGCTGACTAATAACACCATAAATGATGTACTCAGCTCTGGCTAGTGTGCTCAATGGTTAGAGTATTGGCCTGCACACTGGTGGGTCATGGGTTCGATTCCCTGTCAAGGTCAAGTACCTGGGTTGCAGGTTCAATCCCTGGCCCTGTTGGGGTGCATGCAGGAAGCAACCAGTAGATGTGTGTCTCTCGTGTCGATGTCTCTCTCCCCCTCACCCCCTCCCTCCCACTGTCTCTAAAAATCAATGGGAAAAATACCCTTGGGTGGGGATTAACAAATACAAACAAACAAAAACAACGCATTCAATACAGACTTCCACACGTTGGATTGTTTGCAATTTTCCGATGATATAAACATAAACGCCACTCGGCTCAATCTTTCCACCATCCTTGATTGTTCACTTGGGATCAGTTCCTAAGAGAATAGTCACCGTTTCCAGGTGACTTCAAGCCGCTTCCAAAGCCGGCTTCCACCTCCCCGTGTGCCACGGCTCCCGGCCGGTGACAGCGTGGCGCCGGAGGGCTGTGCGCGCAGTGAGTGCCTGCTCACTGACCTCAGAGTGACCCCTCAGTGAGAAGACCGCTACACACACGTGTGGGTGAGGAGGCCGGCTCAGAACGACTGGGGGACTCCACGTGTGTGAGCGCAGCACGCTGTCCGCTCTGGACCCTAAATTCATACCAGACGTTCAGAGCCTGGCCCGCGGTCTGGCTGTTGGCAGCTTATGCGGAGGACACAGTCTGATGTCACACAAAGCGCGGCCTCAGCCACCACATCATCACGGTCACGACCAGCGAGGAGCTGAGGACCCGTGATCACAAAGCACTTGCTGCCAGCAGGCCATTGGTTGGCAGCGAAGCCCTGCCTGAGGCAGCCATCATTTCCCCGGGGGCAGCCCTGCATGGCTAGATTCCCCAGAAGTGATCTGGTTTAACATGAGGTATCGGGTCTGGCCAGTGTGGCTCAGTAGTAGAGCGCAGGGTTGCAGGTTTAATTCACAGGCTCCAGTCAGGCCTGAGTGGGAGGCAACCAATCGATGTCTCTCTCTCACATCGATGTTTCTCCCCCTCTCCCCCTCTCCCCCTCTCCCCCTCTCCCCCTCTCTGCCTTCCACTCTCTCTAAAAATCAATGGAAAAAATACCCTCGGGTGAGGATTAACCAACCAACCAACCAACCAACCAACAACAAGAGCGATACTTGGGGTTTTGGGAGGAACAGGCGGGGGATTCAGATGTTTTCTTTTTCCAGGCCCAACGTCAGATGCCCAAGGAGCAGCGGGAACTCTTCAGGTGAGTGAGGCGCTCGGACACGTGGGCCTGTCCACTGTGGTTCCAAATACTTACGTGTTTTTGTAAAATCAGAAAACGATCGTCATTTCTGCGTCTATAGATAATTATTTAACAATGGAGGTGCCTTCAGTATCATTTATGATTCAAACAGTGGAGGGATAAGGAACCCAGCCGAGGGGGAATGAGTGACAACCCACCCAGCCCCAGGGAACCATGGGAATATCTGAAATAGACAATGATTGGGGCGGTGCAGTGGGACACAAAATTGTAACGACGGTCTCCGTTCTGTTGCATAGAATAAAACTTGCACACGCACTAAAGTGCCACTGTGTTTATCTCTCCAAAGGTTTTGCATTTTCCAAATTGGGAACATGGGTTGTTCTACAAATTGGAAAAATAATAGGATATTTGTGTTTGCCTTTTCTCCACAAGAGAAATACCTATTGGCTTGACATGACCAGGAATTTTCAGACGGTAAAGGTAGCAGAACCCCTTTGCTAAGGGAACATCTGGCCCCGGCTGGGCCCTCCTCCACCCCTCGCCTGAGGCTGGTCCGAGGCCCCCCAGGCTGCTCTGTGCCCCACTCCATGCCGGTGCTCCTCTCGGTGGGAGGGGTGGGTGTGGGCACGTCTCCAGCCTCAGGTCAGGGCAACAGGGCTCCTGAGAGACAGGAACCGTGAGGTTGGCCGAGCCCACTCCCTGCTCCGAGCACCCCGGGTCCCGTGCCCTCAGGACAGTCCCTGCGGGTGCTGAGATGCGGTGCCCCTGGGCTCCCTGCCCTCAGTTTATCTTTCTGCTCTTGGCCCCGGAGCCCAGCCCCCACCGGAAGCCGGCCTCTCCCTCTTCTCACATGGGGCGGGGGGTCTCCATTCACAGGAAGGAGAGCCAGACTTTGGAAAGCAACTTGCGTGAAATTCTACTTTTAATGGAACAAATCGATGTTCTGAAGGCGTTGCTGAGAGATACGCGGGCCGGTCTGCACAATTACAGCTGGAGCCCCGACGGCGACCCCATGGAGGCCCAGGGCCAGGCGGAGGTCATGGACAAGGTGAGTGAATTTCTAACATGAGCAACCACACACTTTCTGAAACTAACTTACCTCCTAAATGGCTATAGAACGTTCCAGTCTTCGTTAGCGAGCAGAGATGGCGGTGAAGGAGGGGACCCAACAGGTCGCACAGGCAGTGCCATCTCGCTGGGTGGTCCTGAGAGCCTGGGAGGTCTGACCGTGCTCTGTGACCTGGGGGAGGGAGGGAGCACAGCTCAGCTCCCTGGGACGCGCTGAGCCCGCGAGCTGTGCAGGTGAGACTGCAGGGCCCGCCCGCCTGCGGCTGGTAAACTCTCATTATTATTATTACTGTTCTGCAGGTGAGGGGCCTGGGGTCCGCAGGCACAGCGCGCGGTCCAGACTTCAGCAGTTGGCAGGGACTTAACAGAACACGGTTTTAAATTTGTGCAGGAAATGTCGAACTTGGTAAACTATGTGCTTAAGAAGCTGAGAGAAGACCAAGTCCAGATGGCGGATTATGCCCTGAAGTCGGCAGGTGAGTGAGGAGGGAAAACGCTTCAATAGTGTCTCTGTTCTGTATATTTCTCTCTCTTTCTTTCTTTCTTTTTTAATATTTTGGTTTTTTTTCCAAAAGGAAGGGAGAGGGAGAGAGAGAGAAACATCAATGATGAGAGAGAATCATGGATCAGCTGCCTCCTGCATACCCCCTACTGGATATTGAGCCCACAACCTGGGCCTGTGCCCTGACCGGGAATCAAACCCTGACCTCGAATCAAACCCTGACCTCCTGGTTCATAGGTCGATGCTCAACCACTGAGCCACACCAGCAGGACTCTCTATATTTCCTTATTAGGAGAACATGTATCTATCTGGTCATGTGGGAGGGAGAGAAATGAACACATCCAGACAGGAAAGGAGAATAGAAATGGTTGTTGTTTGCTCCGAGTTGGTGCAAATCTCAGAGCAAACGCGGAGTCGCTTCGTTAGCGTGGAAAAGGCCGCAGAGAAAGCTGGGTTCCCAGCGCCTCAGGGGCAGCCAGTAGGTTCACGTCACAGGCAGTAGAACCCTTCACACTTTTGCACTAAAATCACCAAAAAAATCTAGAACTAACCAGTAAGGTTAAGTTAAATTCTATATATACAGTTTTCAGATATTAGTCATAAAAGATTGGAAAAAGAAAAATTTAACACAGTACTATTGGGAGGAAGAGGGTAAAGGCGGGGATGGGAGATACTGTAATACTAGCAACAGTAAAAAATATTTTTAAAAAGAAAAAAAACAGTACTATTCACAACAGTTATTTAAAAACACACACACACATAAAATACTTAGGCCTAAAGCCTCCCCTGTCACGTGAGCGGTTAAAAGGGGTCCCTGTGCCTCTGGGAACAGCCGCCCACCACAGTCCCGTCTCTAAATCAGTGGCCTCAGAGTCCGTGTTTGATCACAACAGCGTTTCCAAAATGCTGTGAAACTGCTCAGCACACACGGCCCAGTCCTCATTGTCCAACAACATCATTGAAACCCACACGAGGTGTTTTGAGTTTTTTAACTTTTTACTTGAAAAACTATGTGATCATTTTAGGAGCCTCCATCGTTGAAGCTGGGACCTCGGAAAGTTATAAAAGCGACAAAGCAAAGCTGTACTGGCACGGGATCGGGTTCTTAAATCACGAAATGCCTCCAGAGAGCATCCTCCAGGTGAGAGCCAGACGGCGAGCAGCCTGTTTCTAGTTTAGAATCTTGTTCATATTTTTATCCTTAAAACATTAATGTCTAAAATGGGAGCAACTCTGAACGTGTCACAGGACCTGAACCTACCTCCTTGAATATTCGTAGTCATCAGGTTACACGAGTTTTTCCTTATTTTATGGTCAATAAACTCTGATTGATTAATTACTAACCTATTATTTGAAGGTCGGTAAATCAGATGATGAACTTCTCACACAGGACAGACACAGTCCGCATCTTTACGTGGCTCCGCGGCCCCCTTTCCATCAACACGTTCCGTCCCAGCTCACGTGTTGAGGGTCCGCGCCCCGAAGTGCCTGTGCTGAGCCATGTGCTTTCAGGCCAGCACATTGTTAGGATGTCCAATAACAACAGGGGAAAGTTCCAGATAAAATGTCCACGAACTTCGCTTCGAAAGGCACTAGACAGCAACAGGTGGCAGAGCTCTCGTACTAGGGCCTACACACCTGAAGTTAGCTTCCAATTTCTAAATGCCTTCAGGGCAAACCTGTGAATCTC